CAAATTTATTAAAGATGCGCTTCGCCCAATTACTCACACCCCTCTTCAATGTCAGTCACTAAAGAGTTAATGTTGATATCTGCATATGCGTAGAAGTCTACGTTTTGCGAAACTTAAATTTTTTTCTTTGTGGAATTCCATTGTCAAGTTTTATTCCTTCTGAAATTAGGCTTTTTATCTTGACTCTCATTTTTCTATTCAAAAGATGATTCCAATTATATTTATATATTTTATGTCTGACTTTCCAATCTATTTTGTTCAAAATTGTATGTAATCAGATTTGGCACATGCTTTTGAAAAATTTAGAGACATATTTAAAAGATGACTAATAGTTTTATAAGACGTTAATATGAAATAGTCCATATAAATAGCATTTTATAGCAGAGTTATAATATCTTTCATGATATGGTGCAAGGTATTAAAACTGTAATTAAAATTAATTCATATAAAATATATAATGAAAACAAAATGTGTTTGCGAATTTATAATATGATACTGTAAATTGGCAGTTCGTAATAGCATATGGTCCAAGATTTATATGGTCCCCATACGTCTGTGCTCAGTATTTTAATGATAAGTGTCACACCTTTCACTAGAATTATTTCAAATTCGGAGTTTGGAGTTCGCAATGAGTGCAACTTTCTATGTCAAAAAAATCCTATATAGATCCAATGGGCTTCGTATAGCCCCCATTTATGGGAACCTGCCAATATTCGCTATTTTAAAGATGAATGATGAGTCACTGTTTAGTTGTAGTGAAAAATCATATTACACTACCTCTAAATTTTGGTGGTAGTGAAATTTTAATTGCAGCATCACTAAATTATGGGGTATGAGAAACATAACTAAATTTTGTAATATTTAAAAAAAGTAAAAAACATTAAGTTCGGCCCGGAGGACTTCTAATTCCCTCAACCATTGGTAAAAACAATTAGACATAATTAGACATAATACAAACTATCGTGCCAAATTTCAAAACACTACGTCAACTAATGTGGAATTTGTCGAGATTCCAACAGACAGACGGACATCGTTAAATGGTCTTAGAATATTATGCTGATCATGAATGTGTGCGGCCTACGACGGATATTCAGTGATGTTTCAAACGAAATGACAAATTTAATGTACCCTCCTTTCCAAGGTGGAAAGTAAAAGAAATTGCTTTAAATTAGTTCTATTGAAAAATATCAAGTTAAGCTATTTTTATGACTACCGTAATGAGTCGTTATTTTATTTAAATGTTTTCTTAAAACAAGCATTTCAAAACTGCTGTCGCTCATATTTTGAAACCAATCGTTCCGCTGTGGCTAAAAATGGGACAAATCAATAAAAAATAAAAGTCTATAACAGATGCATATAGGTGCAATGATGACGTCAAAAATACGAAATATGAGTTTTGGTATTGGTGCCTCAAGTATTTCTTACTATATATGGATTTAAATCCGACAATTGTATGGAATTAGTATTTTTGTCTAAAATATTGCGAAAGGATATGAAACAAGTGTTGTTCGAGCTTGAGGTCTTTGTTGTTGTATTTATTTTAATATTCCAATATTTCGAAATTAAATGAATTTCATCATCAGGGAAATAGTTCTACAATAAAAAAAACCAGTAAAGAAAGTCCTAAAGTCGAGCGGGGCCGATTTTATAATACCCTACACCACTTTGCTAATTTAGTTGAGCTCCGCATAACAATTAAAAGTTTTTATGGGAGAACTCAATCATACACCCTATGATTATAATTTGAAATTCAAAGCACTAAATATGCCGAAGAATTTGTATCTTTTAATTTCGGACTTGTATTGCCCATTTGGTGCAAAATTAATTTAAAATCGGATAAAGATATATATGGGAGCTATATCCAAATCTGAACCGATCTGGATAAAATTTAGCAAAGGTATTTCTGAGCTGCATTTGATATATTTCCCCAAATCTTGTTGTTACAGAGTGCATATTACGGCTGCGGAGGACAAAAATAACAAATCGGATGAACAATATATATGGGAGCTATAGCTATATATGAACCGGTTTCGATCAAATTTGGCATACTTATTTTCAGGCCTAATTTGCAAAATCCATACTATTCGGGCTGATATTGACCGTTTGGTGCACAATAAAAGGCAAATCGGACGAAGATATATATGGGAGCTGTATCAAAATTTTTACCGATTATCTACAAATTTCAATAGGGTTTGTGCCTGGGCCAAACAAATGTTGTTTTTAAAATTTCATCTCAATCGGATAATAAATGCGACCTGCATTTTGTTCACAAGAATAAATGGACAGACGGACGGACAGACGGACTGACTTGTATAAATCAACTCAGAAAGTGATTCTATGCAGATCATCGAAAGGAACTATGGGTCTATCTCGTTTCCTTTTGCCTGTTACAAACAAATGCGCAAAGACATAATACCCTGACAACTTTGTGGAGTTGGGTATAATAAGCAAAGTACGACTTATTAACTATATCACAGTTTTTTCTAATACTAATAGGTATATTAACAAAGATCACTTACATATTTATAAATACTAAAATGAATTTTTATAATTAACTTTCTACTCCGTCAATTTACATTATTGCACTGGTTAGTATTGATTTATTGCACGATCTCTACCCCGTGTGATTTGCCTGTAGCAGTAGGCTGTGTTGTCGGTGTCTGTTTTGCTGTTTATTCTTGTTGTTGTTGGGAGACTGTTTATGTGGAGCATCTCTAGTGTTAGTCTCTTGTTGTAATGATATTTGGAAATTTAAAGCGTCGGTTTCTGTGAAATTAGTTTGTAAGCTTTCTTAAGGGTGTAATAAGCTTGGCTCCGATTTGCTTGTATATAAATACTGATTAGTGGTGTAGAAAAAATTGTATAAAAACATAGTTTTTCATGCGTATAAAGGTTCAAACTGCTGAATTTTGCTGACGAACATGTTATTTACCTTTTTCAGTGACCACGTCAATAAAAAATGATTCCTGCCGAATTAAGTAGAAGTAACAGATCGGAATAGGTCATATGTTATATCTACAATTAAAAATATTGTTCAGGATAGAATGGAAAGTCGAATTACCGTTAGAGGGGAAAAGGCTTCTAAGCATTTATATACGATTGTCTCCAATTTGGAAACAATTTTTCCGGCAGACAAAGAGTAAAAACAGTTTTAAAAAAGTTGCCCGATAAGAATTTGGCTTGTACATATTTCTTCAGAAGATATGTGTTTTAATTCGCCACATATACACATCTGCATACAGCCCAAACTCCCGTAATAAGCTATATCAGATTTCCAACATGCACACGATAATATTCATTTTGGCTGCCAAGTTCGTGACTGGTGTATTGTGGGGTTTGGAAAGAAAATTAACATTATTTTAAACCAAATTTTGTGAAAAATGTGTTCCCATTGAAAATCAGTGTTTTACAACTAATACAAAGAAAAACCAAAACAAACATCAGCTGTCTTGCTGTCGGTTATCGATTAGACACACATATTTGCTGTTATCACATCAGATGAGTATTTTGTAACGTTCGAAAATAAACATTAAGATAATGAACCGTCCCTATACAGTATCATAAAAATATTTCTTAGCCGGTATATAAGCCAAAAAAAATATTTTAGTGATACTGTACTGGTGTACAAGAATAATTGTAATGTACCACAGTTTGAGTACTAAAAATCGTAGAGTACCACATGACGCAACATTGAACAAATAACGTGCTAGTATCAATGTGATATACATATATATGAAACGAGTAAACAAACATTAAGTTATTTTAATACCCTCCACCTTAGGGTAAAGGAAAACTTTTTATATAAAAGTATCTGAATTCAAGCGTGTTTCACATTAAACTTCATATACCAGTAAGAATGTAGTTAAACTCATCAAAAAATATCCTAAAGTGAGTGAGGCCGTTATATGGGGCCATACCAAAACAGGAACCTCTATAGACAATTTTATACTTAAAGGATTGTCACTATCAAATTTTCTAAAATACCAAATTTGAAACAAATATAAATGTGTGGGATAAATGTGACTAGGATTATAAAAATACCGTATATCGGTGGGTATCGTTATATGTGCGCTATAGGAAAACGTGGAACTAAATATTTAATGTTCTGCCACCAGTCTAGAACCTGTTATGAACTAAAAATACCAATTTTTATCAAAATATCGAATCTCGGCAGGTACCCTTGTTTTGGGGCAAGGCCAAAACATGGACCTATACGTACAATGTTTCGCCACACGAGCTAAAACCCACTATACCCTACAAAAAAAAAAAATTAGACAAATCCATAGAAAAATATGGCAAATATCATCAAAATACCGAATATCAGGAGGTACTGTTATATGGGGCCTATACCAAAACGTGGTCCTATACATACAATGTTTTTCCACGCAAGCTAGAACCCATTATGACAAATTCCGATTTTTAGACAAATCCGTGAAAAAGTGTGGCATTAATCATTAAAATACTGAATACCGTTATATGGGGGCTATACCAAAACGTGACCGATATATCTCATTTTCAATACCAACCGTGCTGTTAGGTACTGTTATATGGGGCCTATACCAAAACGTGGTCCTATACATACAATGTTTTTCCACGCAAGCTAGAACCCATTATGACAAATTCCGATTTTTAGACAAATCCGTGAAAAAGTGTGGCATTAATCATTAAAATACTGAATACCGTTATATGGGGACTATACCAAAACGTGACCGATATATCTCATTTTCAATACCTACAGTGCTAGACACAATACAAACTGTTCTGCTAAATTTTAAGGATCTACGCTCCAGAATTTTATGCTGATTATGCATATTTATATATATATATATATATATATATATATATATATATATATATCTATATATATATATATATATATATATATATATATATATATATATGTATATATATATATATATATATATATATATATATATATATATATATATATATATATATATATATATATATATATATATATATATGTGTGTAGACAAGCAATGTTTTTTTCCATGTTTCTTCTTATTCGTACAACAATAAATCTTGTAGTAAAAGTGTTTACAATAAAGTTCACCCACAATTGGAATATTATAATTTCCTTATAATAAGCATATCAATTTTTATCATTCTTTTTCATATTCTTAAAATCCCTATAATTCTTAATATACCTCATATAAGTCACTTCTTAATCTTAAAACAGTCTATGTTTTCATACTCTTATTTATTCTTTTTAATTTCATATATACACGATGCTGATTGCTGTATTATTAGTGCACCCTAAAACGATGCCCTTGGTTAGGCAAGATACTAAATCCAGGGACGCAACATACAATCTAGTCAGAATTCTAACAAAGCAAAAAGAAGGCATTAGAATTTGTCATATTAACGCACAGAGTATTGTGAACAAAGTTGACGAATTAAAGTACTTATTTGAAAACTCAGGTACTGAACTAAACTCTGCCATATCATATACCTAAACTCTGCCATATCATATACCTTATTCAATTTAAAAGGCTATTCTGTATTAAGGTTAGACAGAGAAATTCATTACAAAGTCGGAATGTGGTGATGAAATTGAACATGTTTTTGTTGAGGTTAAGGCTAGTAATACAAAGATGTTAAGTGGTTGTATATATCGACCTAATAATAATATTGATTTTGCCTTACTCTTGGTTTTCATGAAGTTATTATCACAGGGGAATTTAATTCAAATTTACTCACTGATACTACATTGACAAACAAACATTAGGCCTGTACGTATCAAACAATTTTCGTCCTATTCACTTCTCCTCAAATACTAATACGCTTCTGGATTTATTTTTTAAATAATAACCATAATAATCTGTTATACGATCAAATTTCTGCGTCATGTTTTTCTAAGCATGACCTGATATTTCTTATATACAAATTTAATATTTCGCCTCTTGAACAAGTTTATTCATTCCGTGATTACAATAGACTGGACCATTTAGTTTTGGAAAATAAATGTCGCATCCTTAATTGGGATGAAATATATAATTTCATTTCCGTTGATCAGAAAGCAAAATTCCTGCAATAAAACATTCTGTTTCTTTATAATGATATGGTTCCACTAAAGGCTAAACGTATTGATAATAGAAATAAAACACTATCAAAGCGTTTATTGCTGATAGAGACACAGCTTATAAAAGATGGAAACGGTATAAAACTCCAGAACTATATGAGGAATTCCGCTTAGACCGAAGGAGAGCAAGCAACCATATCAATCTTGCCAAAACAGAATATTTTTCCACTAAATTTAATTCAGCATTGGACTCCAAGAGTAAGTGGAAACTAATTCACGAAATCGGAGTTGGAAAGCCCAGCGTATCTGCCTCTACTCACTGTGATGAAATGATCTTAATAATATATCCTACTATTCCAGCAGACCCTACTTTTTACAGTTCTACCAGTTCAACTAAAGATACCTTATCTGATGAGGCATCTTTTGAGTTCCGTTGTGTCACTAGCGATGAAGTCGTAGCTAGCTTTGGTAGTGTTAAGTCTAGTGCCATTGGTTAAGGTGGCATTGATCCAAAGTTTGTTCGTTTACTACTTCCTTTTCTTCTACCTTATTTTACCCACTTATTCAATTCCATTTTGACGACAAATACTTTCCCCACTATCTAGAAACAGGCAAAAGTTATTCCAGTCCCGAAATATAACACGGATTTCCAGCTCATAGCTATATTACCTTTTGTATCTAAAGTCTTTGAGAAACTCATCCACATCCAAATGTCAGAACACCTTCAACAGAATACATGGCTTTCTCACGTGCAATCAGTATTCCGATCTGAGCCCAGCTGTATCACTGCGTTAGAAGAAGTCTCAGAGTCAATCAGACGTGGTGTTGAAGAGAATAAAGCTTGTTTCCAGACCAAACAAAAGCCTTTGACACTGTCGATAACATTAACCTTTGCATCAAACTACGGCGTCTTTTCAATTTTTCCAACACTTCCACTAATCTTATAAAATCTTACTTGTCCAACCGCTCACAATTGGTATATTCTGGAGGGTCCACTTCAACACCATTGGCTATATGTAGGGCGCCCCTCAGCGCTCTATAGTAGGTCCTCGTCATCTCAGGATATGTAGGCAAATGATCTTCCCAGCCAAATAATCCACAACAGTGTGCACATGTATGCCGATGATGTACAAATATTCCTAAGCACCAATGTGAATCATGCAAGACAATCTGTTCATAATATTGCTATTAATTTGCCCAACACTGTTGGTTGGGCATTTACCGGCGGCCGCATAAATGGCATCATAACAAAATGATGTAAATAATGTAAATACATACACATACATTTATGCAGCCACCGGTAAATTCCAATGCTGAATTCTAATAACTAAGCATCGTCAACAGCCAAAACAGGTTTGATGTGACGATGCAAATTTGGCAATAATCTGTTCTTTTTCAATTACCGTCGCGAGCGCAAGTTTCCCCCCCGAGTGACAAGTGTCTGTGCAAAAATAAAAGAAAAAAAAAACTAACAACATTTATATATTACAAAAACCAGTGAACATTGAAATACAACAAAAGGTATCAAAATTACAAAAAAAAAAACAGAATATTACAAAATTATCTATGTTAAACAAAAGCTTTCTACAACATACAATATACAACAAAAAGAATAATTGTGAAACTAATTGCTAAAACTTACCTGCTAACTTAAAACTTATAATTAAGATAAAACTTAAAACCTATTGAATTACAAACTAAATATAATTATCTAAATAAAGCAAATCTTATGAACTAGTGAAAACTTAAAACTTTTTTATATCTAAAATTGCACTACCCCAAAATCCAAATAAAAGAACTAAAAATTAAAAGAAAAATATTTCTTATAATTTAAGAAGGCTCAAGGCAAAAAAGGTAAGCCTAAAAACATTTGGTCCTCCAGAGCCGGATCAAAAAGTGAAAGTTTTTTAAGTTATTAAAAACAAAAAAAAAAAAAAGAACAATTTGTGAGTGGACGGACAAACAAAAGAACAGTGAGAAAAAAGAACAGTGAAAAATAACAGTGGGTGTAAAAAATAAGTGCAAAGAAAAAAAAATTAAATTTAAAAAAAAAAGAAGAAAAATGAGAAAAAAATAAATAATTAATAAAAAATAGACTTTGCACAGTGCAACAAAAGTGAAGCTACACAGTGCTACAAAAATAAAATTTTTAAAATTGTAGAAAAATTAATTTTTTCTTCAATTTTAAAAAAAATATACAATTTACAAAAAAAATTACAACAAAAGAGACTATACACAGTGATACACGAAAGACAATATACAGTGACACAAAAAACAACCACAACAAGGAGAATTTTGGAGCCAGCAGTAGGACGGACACACGCAGCACAACAACAACAACAACAACAACCGAGACCCAAAACCCAAGATCAAAGTGAGTACTCGTGAAATTTTCTTTTTTGACACAAAAGGGCATTTCGGGAGCAGGCAAATCTTCAATATTTGCATTGACCCGCATATTCCCATATTTGGCAAGATAACTTTGACACATATTCAAAGCTGCTAGTTGCCCACTCTGACACAGTGAACGAAATTTTCCATTTGGAGCCATTTTTGTGGACAGACATTTGGCTATTGACCCGGAAAAAAAGAAAAAAGCAGAAAGACACATATTTTTTTTCAAAAATAGCGGGAATTTTCAGCCATATACAAATATATATATACAAAAATTTTGGAATTTTCTGAACGTGGAGTTCAGGTGAATACATAAGCGCCATATTGACACAAATACATAAGCTTTTAATTTTGGAAAGTTGGCGTCACTAAACTTGGCAAACATATAAACGCCATATTGCAAAAACTATATACAATTTTTTGGAAAAAAAGCGTCACTTGCAATATATAGTCGCCATATTTTTTGGAAAAATTTGGCGTCACCCGAATACATAAACGAGTAAATAAAACCCGTTTAAAAAATAGCGTCTGGTGGACAGACAAAAAATAACCTAAATTTTTTTGAAATTTTTGCAAGCGTCTGGTGGACAGACATACATTTGAAAATTAAACTACAAATTTTTTGAAATTTTTGGAGAAAAAAAATTGCAAACAAGCAAGCGTCTGGTGGACAGACATACATTTGAAACTTAAACTACAAATTTTTTTGAAATTTTGGAGAACAAATTTTATATCGGAGTCTGGTGGACAGACATAAAATCGATCCCATATATTTACAATTTTTATTTTTATTCTAATTTTAACCTTTTTTCCCATTTAGCACAATATCTATTGCTCTAAGGAGCTTAAAAATTTTTCTGTGACCCAAAATTAATTTCTTGCATTTTTCGCAGAAATATTTTGCTGGTATACTTTTTTTGATTTTGTGACACATAACACGACAACTTTTTGGGAAAAATTTCTTCATTGACATTTTTTACACTTTCTTGAATTTTTTGCTGAAAATATTTGGATTTTGACCCAAATTATTTTCTTTTGCAATATTCTGCTGGGACATAAAATTTTCTGCTGAAATATTTGGACCTTGACCCAAATCAATTTTTTTGGAAATTTTTGCTCAAATTTTTGGATTTTTTGACCCAAATTATTTGTTTGAAATATTTCTGCTGAAATATTTGGATTTATACATACATAATTTTCTCTAATTCTCGTTGCGAATTTTATCGAAAAATTTGGCGAATTTAGAAAATTTGTTGAATCAGACAAATTTTCACAGCAATAATCAAAGTTATTGGCTTTTATAAACTAAAATCCTCCTGTCATAGGATATTAAGCGATTTTAAGTAAAAATTTTGAAACTTTTGTTCGACAACCCAACACACATTTTTTCTTTCGTTGAAATTTTTTTTGGATTTTCTGAAACTTCTTGGAAAATAAAACTTCTCTTTGACTATCAAAAAAGACTCTCGTTTTTTTTTTTTGGAAAAAATAGTTTATTGCAGCAAAACATCTCTGGTAATTTCTTCCTTTGCAATTCTCGTTTACACAATTTTGTTTTAAAAACTTTTGATTATTTTTCGATTTGCAAAAATAAAATCCTCCTGTAAGTGGACTTTAAGAGATTTTATTTTCCTTTCTGCTCATTTTGGCTAAAAGTTGACTCCTTCTGGCAACCCAGCAAACATTTTTAATCAATTCAGTCCGGCGTCTAATACAAAGGAAATTTTTTGAAAATTTTCAAAAATTTTGAAATTTTTGAAGGAAACGAAATATAATTTGACTCAAACCAATAAGATAAGATCGTTTTCGTCGACAACAATTGGAGAAAGAAACTTATCCTCATTTTAGAAATAAAAATTTGGATAAAAGTTTAAATTCTAAACCAAGTTAGTCCTTTTCACTGGGCAACTTTTCTTTTTTGTAAAACAACAAAATTTCGTAAAGGTTAACGCTCAGTTTTCAAATGGATAAAACGTTAAGCGATAAATTCACAAATTGCGTCAACGATCTTCTGGATTATATTTCAATTTTTTCAATAACCAAACCTGATGACACGGTACATACTTTGGAAACAACACGAATGGAGTTGGACTCTGCATGGGACCAGGTCAAGAGAGCCTACATAGACTGTCGGGATTATGTTCCAGAAGAGGAAGGAAAGCCGATCGATAAAAATAAACTGAGGAAGCACTATATGGATACCATGGGATCGTACAAAAAAGCGCTGAGTTCAATAAATGGACAAATTCAAAATCTTTTGGATGAAAAGACACAGGAAAAAATGAAAAGAGAGTCAGAGATGTCACAACAAGGAAGGGAAGTGGATTTTACTAATGTATCGCGGCTACCTCCATGCGATACAGACACATTTAAAGGTGGTTATAGAGAATGGCCAACTTTCAGAGATCTATTTTCGGCAATTTACATAAACAACTCAAAATTAAGCAATGTCGAAAAATTATTCCATTTAACGCAAAAGACAGCAGGAGAAGCTACAGAAATTATTTCACATGTCCCACTAACTAATGATGGATTTACATTAGCATGGAAAAATCTCACAGATCGTTACCAGAATAAAAGAATGCAAATTAATGAAGAAATCAAGACACTTTTTAATCTACCTGGAGTTTCTGCTGAATCAAGTCACTCTATTCAAAAACTACAACGCACGGTAAATAGCAGCATTCAGACACTGGGGATACTTGATGTCGACGTTAAAGGATGGGATCCGATTTTAATATACATTTGTTCAACAAAATTACCTAGAGGCTTTTTAGAAGAATTCGAGAACTCATTAAGCGATTGTAAACAAATTCCAAAATGGGAACAGTTTGACGATTTCTTAACAAACAAATTCAAAACTTTGGAATCAGTTGGTAGCATAAAGCCCTCTACATCGAAATTTGCTCAACAAAAACCAACTAACAATCACACGCCTAGATTTTTGAAAACATTTCAGACAAATGTCTCAAAAAATACAAACAACTTTGGAGGAAGACCTACTAATGTAATATTACCTCAACAAAATAAACAGAAAAATACTCAAACTTGTCAAGTCTGCAAATCAAATCATTTCATAAGAGATTGCAGCGAATTTTTGAAAAAGAGTGTGAATGACAGAATTCACATCGTGAAAACATCACACTTATGCTACAATTGTTTGTCATCAAATCACGGAGTAAAGGATTGCAAAAGTCGCTTTGGCTGCCGTATTTGTACTATGAAACACAACACTTTGTTACACAAGGGAACGGAAACCCAAACAACTAACTCATACCTAGCTCGAGTGGAAGCACGACCTAGTACTAGTGCTGCCGCTCTTACAAATCAAATACAGTCCACTACAAACCTAGAACCAACTACTATTACTACTTTGACCCTCCAAGATAAGCAAATTTGTGAGCGACAATCTGGAGGAACACTACTCTTCACAGCAATAGTACAAATTGAAACCAAAGGACAACTTTACGATGCCCGAGCTCTAATAGACTCAGGATCACAATCCACCTTTATTTCGGAAAAGATGAAAAACTTTTTGAAGTTGCCTACACGGAATAACTTAGTTCATGTCACTGGCTTAAGTCAATTTGTTTCTGAGACTTCAACAAAATCTTGCTTGTTTACTATGAGATCCAAATACGACCCTAGCTTTAAACTGGAAGTCTGGGCTCCAGTTTTAAAGAACTTACCTTCAAATCTACCACCACAAAACTTAGATGAATCACAACTTCGAGATGTAACAGCATTAGAACTGGCTGACCCGAAATTTTACGTTAGTCAACCAATCGATTTACTTATTGGAATGGACATAGGACCATTAATATTCACAATTGGAACTCCAATGAAAACATTTGGATCAATTTTAACACAAAAAACCAAATTTGGATGGATAGTTGGAGGACCCATACCAGGAAGCATCCTTCAACGAAAACAAATATCACTTCTAAATACAACTTCAATAGAGAAAGTACTTACACGTTTTTGGGAGGTGGAAGAGACCCCTAAAAAAGTTTTACGGTCAGAAGAAGACCAATTTTGTGAACAAAACTTCATTGAAACAACAATACGGAACAAGGATGGAAGATATGTGGTGACTCTCCCATTCAAAAAATGCGAGGAATTGGGGAATTCCAGAAACATCGCCCTAGCTCAATTCTACAGAATGGAGAAAAAACTTATGAAAACACCAGAGATCAAAGAACAATATGATGCCTCAATACTAGAATACTTAGAACTTGGTCATATGAGGAAAATCAATCCGAATGAAATAGATAAAATGCCAAATTATTATCTACCACATCATGCAGTAATTAAGCCAGATCGAATCACGACAAAGTTAAGAGTCGTCTTCAATGCTTCTTGCCCATCATCAAACAAAACAAGTCTCAATGACATATTGTTTCCGGGACCCATTTTACAACAAGATTTGGTACTACAAATTCTAAAATGGAGATTTTTTAAATATGCCTTCAATGCAGATATAACAAAGATGTATCGCCAAATACTTTTGGATTCAAAGCAAACGAAATATCAAAGAATTCTCTTTAGAAAGTCTCCGGAAAACCCAGTAGAAGATTATGAGCTGCTAACAGTTACATTTGGAGTTAACTGCGCACCATATTTAGCATTGAGAACTCTTCTTAAACTAGCAGAAGATGTAAAAGAATCATACCCTAGAGCCGCAAATATAATTTTGAATAATTTGTATGTTGATGATGTATTAGCTGGCGGTCACACTGAAGATGAATCAATAAAAGCTCGAAAAGAATTAACTGCTGCTTTAGACTCTGCCGGTTTTACACTAATGAAATGGGCATCAAATGATCGCAAAATAATACAAGATATTCCACATGAACATTTGCTACCACTCAATTGGCTAGACATTTCCGAAGATGCTTCAACTAAGACCCTTGGAATTCGATGGAATATCTCAGGCGATTATTTTTCTTTCACACCACCCTCAATGGAAAATAAAAATATTTATTCAAAAAGAGAAGTTTTATCAACTATAGCTAAATTGTTTGAACCATGTGGATGGCTGGCACCGGTGGTTGTTGTAGCTAAGTTAATAATGCAACAAATCTGGCTAGACAAAATTGACTGGGATGATCAATTAAAGTCAATAACTCAAATGAACTGGAACAATTTTGTCAAAAATAGCAAAGATATTGAATATCTCAGAGTTCCTCGATGGATTCAATATACGTTAGATGGTTCTGTAGAGATTCATGGATTTTGTGACGCATCAGAAAGCGCATATGGAGCCACTCTTTATATTCGGGTAGAAAATACTGACCATACCACACATACATTCTTGCTAGCAGCAAAGACTCGTGTCGCTCCAATTAAAAAATTATCAATACCCAGACTCGAGTTATGCGGGGCAGTATTACTTTCAAAATTAGCAAAATCCATTGTAAATAGTCTACAAATATCAAAATATTCGACACAATTTTGGACTGATTCTACCATCGTCTTAGCATGGTTAAAAAAGCCTCCTTGTCATTGGAGCACATTTGTTGGAAATAGAGTCTCGGAAATTGCTGATAATGTTGGACAAGAAAATTGGAGACATGTTGATTCGGAAAATAACCCAGCTGATATTGCGAGCCGTGGGTGTTCGCCTGCAGAGCTAAAGACTAGTGATCTCTGGTGGCAGGGACCTCAATGGCTCAGAATGCCAATAGACCGTTGGCCATCATATGAAATCCCAAATGACACAAATTTGGAAGCCAAAACGGCAAAAGTTATGACTGTTTTCGCTGAAAGAGATGACCCTTTAAAAAATTTCTCCTCTTTATCTAAAGTTTATCGATCATACGCATATGCCCTAAGACTCTGGAAAAATACTGGAGAAAATAGGCAACACCTTCGAACCTCATCAAAAGACCTTACATCAGATGAAATCCAAGATGGAAAACGATCGTGTATAATTCGTACCCAAAAATTCGTATATGCAGACGAATACAACGCACTTATGAAAAAGACTCAAATTTCTCCTTCAAGTCCTCTGTTGACACTCAACCCATTTCTAGACTCAAAGGGTATTATTAGAGCAAATGGCCGATTGGTACAATCGCCAGCCCTTACCTATAGCGAACGTCACCCAATAATATTACCACATGGCGCAAAACTTAGCAAATTATTAGTCGAATTCACTCATAAGGTTACTTTACACGGGGGTAATCAATTAATGACCCGAGTATTAAGGTCCGAATTCTGGATATTTGGACTCAAGTCGCTTATCAAACAAACCATACGAAAATGTCGAATCTGCTTAATTCACAAAAAAACAAACCCAGACTCAAATAATGGCTTCGCTACCACCCGAACGCACTTTTCTTTCTCGACCCTTTACAAACACAGGGGTAGATTTTGCAGGACCCTTTAACATTAAAAGTTATTCAGGAAGAGCCTGCTTTATTACAAAAGGCTACGTGTGCCTGTTTGTTTGTTTCGCCACGAAGGCTATACATTTAGAACCCACAAGCGATTTGTCGACATATGCCTTTCTTGCCGCTTTTTCTAGGTTTATTAGTCGGCGAGGTTGTCCGTCTTGTATATTTTCGGACAACGGAACTAACTTTGTGGGAGCGGTTGATCTATTAAAGCGAGATAGATTAGCTTTCATGAAGAATATTCAAAATAGCACAATTCAAAATAATTTCACTCAAAATCTTACTTGGAAATTTATTCCTCCTGGTGCTCCGCACATGGGCGGCTTGTGGGAAGCTGGCGTCAAATCGCTTAAAATTCATTTGCGAAAAAGTATCCCAAAAATGAATTTCACTTTTGAAGAATTTACAACTATTTTATCAAGAATTGAAGGCTGTCTTAACTCACGACCCTTAAGTCCTGCTAGCGACGACCCAAACGACCTTTCCCCTTTGACACCTGGTCATTTCTTAATAGGAACACCTATTCTTACCCCAGCTGAACCAGACATTTCAGATACAGATTTAAGCTTAGTCAATCGTTGGAAAAGACTCAAAGTTATTTCACAATACTTTTGCAACAGATGGAAATTAGAATATCTTCACGAACTTCACAGAAGAACTAAGTGGAAATATGAAAGGGAGAACATCAAAGAAGGAGATTTAGTTGTCGTAAAAGATGATAGATTGGCTCCGCACGAATGGAAGTTAGGTCGGATCGAAAAAACGTATCCAGGTAGTGACCAAAATACCAGGGTTGTAGACATACGGACGGCAAGTGGCAACATTAGCAGACCCATTACAAAAATTGTCAAATTGTTTTCCGACTGACTAGTCGGATTCTCACTCAAAAAAGAATTTAGTACTCGCCTTAATTTCTTTTCAGATATGGCCGCTTACTTGCCCAACCAGGACTGCCGTCTGGACGATCGCAACCGTAGCCCAGACTCACCTGCCCGTCCCACAGCAAGAAGCGCCAATCGACCCATACGGCCCATCCATCGACCCAGTTCCACATCCCCTGAAAGGCGACAGAGAAGTCGATCCGACGTAAGACCCCGCCAACGCCAAGAAAGACCTAGCTACTGGCAATACTCATGTGGACTATGCCAAGAAGACCATGCCCTCAGTGCCTGTGAGAGGTTCCGCCGGCAGACGCCCTTCCAGCGATATGAGACCGTGGAGCGTCGGGGGTATTGCCGAAATTGCCTGGCGAGAAGTCATTTGGCCCCCGACTGCCCGTCTTTAACTGGTTGCCGGAGATGCAACGACCGGCACCATACCCTATTGCACGGGGCGTCTCAATTGGAGGAGGTATCCCTAAATATAGAAGCCGTCACCACCCCAGCTTTCGCGTGGGACGCATAACGGCCGAGGGTATGGAGGGTTTCAGCATGTTGCGGGCCATAGTTAGCCAATCGGCGACGATGTCCAAGATCTCATATGCAGCTTTCCGTCGCCTGGGTCTGCAGTCGCGGAGCTACAAAGGGGAGCGATTCACAACCTTCACAGTTTCGCCCCGCCGCACGAACAGTACTTGGAGTCTGAAGGTAAATGCCGTAATTATCGAAGATCTCCCAAGACGCATTTACTCGGACCCAATACTTGAAGACCCCACTAGATGCTTCACGAGCTACGCCTTAGCTGACCCTGATCCCAGAGGAAATAGTCCGATCGATGTGGAACTGGGAGCGGACACGTACTCCGCCATAAGGAAAGATGGGTGTACAGCAGCTGGAATTGGAGATGTCCTGGCCTACAACACACAACTGGGCTACGTGTTTGCTGGGCCAATCAAGAACATGCCGAGGAACTGAAGACCGAAGATCCTTATGGTATATTAGAAATGAATACTTACACTTGTCATTCGGGGCCCAGAAAATGTTCATAATATTGCTATTAATTTGCCCAACACTGTTGGTTGGGCATTTACCGGCGGCCGCATAAATGGCATCATAACAAAATGATGTAAATAATGTAAATACATACACATACACACATACATTTATGCAGCCACCGGTAAATTCCAATGCTGAATTCTAATAACTAAGCATCGTCAACAGCCAAAACAGGTTTGATGTGACGATGCAAATTTGGCAATAATCTGTTCTTTTTCAATTACCGTCGCGAGCGCAAGTTTCCCCCCCGAGTGACAAGTGTCTGTGCAAAAATAAAAGGAAAAAAAAACTAACAACATTTATATATTACAAAAACCAGTGAACATTGAAATACAACAAAAGGTATCAAAATTACAAAAAAAAAACAGAATATTACAAAATTATCTATGTTAAACAAAAGCTTTCTACAACATACAATATACAACAAAAAGAATAATTGTGAAACTAATTGCTAAAACTTACCTGCTAACTTAAAACTTATAATTAAGATAAAACTTAAAACCTATTGAATTACAAACTAAATATAATTATCTAAATAAAGCAAATCTTATGAACTAGTGAAAACTTAAAACTATTTTATATCTAAAATTGCACTACCCCAAAATCCAAATAAAAGAACTAAAAATTAAAAGAAAAATATTTCTTATAATTTAAGAAGGCTCAAGGCAAAAAAGGTAAGCCTAAAAACACAATCTATACTTAATTTAAATGAGGATCTCGACAGGGCTGTAAATGGGCTAGAGCAAATGTTCTCCTCTTGAATCCTCGTAAGTCCAAATGCCTCATCATACACAAAAATAAAAGACTGCAACTGAGAAATATAAATATCTTATTGAATGATCAAAAAATACAAATTGTTACGCATGCCAAAAAGCTGGGAGTAGTTTTTAACTCTAGTATAATTTGGACTAACCACATTAACCATGTGGTTGGACAAACCTATGGAAAACGACGAACCTTATGGTTAACGCATTCGTTTACGCCTCTTCATATTCGGCGACTTTTGGCTAAAACTCTCTTGTTACATGGGCTGATATATGGCTCTGAACTTTATGCAAACTGTGACTCCATATGTTGACGAAAGTTAAATGTGGCTTTTAACCGCATTACGCGTTATGTCTTCGGTCTGTGTAGAACTCAACACGTGTCACAATACTCTTGCTCTTTATACGGCATTAGTTTTAAAAACCCCTTCAAACGAAAGCTTTGTTTAACAATAATCTTGTGTAGAAGTGTTAACACAAGATTATTGTTAAACAAACTCCAGCATATCTCTTCATTAGAATAACATTTAGCTAATCCAACAGAGGTAAAAAGATGACGCCTTTTTGAAGGAAAAGCTGGGTTTCTGAATGCCAGTTCTTTATTGGAACAGTTCGTCTCTGGAATACTCTTCCATCTGACATACAAAGCATCTGCAACGTGTATATCTTTAAAAATAGGCTTAATTTCTTTTTTTTCAAAACATCAAAACAAGCACTTAATATAAATATTAAATTTTTTCTTTTCCATACATTGGCCAAATTATGTATTTTATTACTTTAGTCTAAGTTGGAAATGTTTATAATTTTTGTCCCCTGTACTGTAATTTATAAGATATTAATATTGTTGTGCAGGAAGAAATAAATAAAAGAAATGTCAAAATTAGCATCCCAAGAGAAAAAAAAATCGACTTTGGCATTTCAGTTCTAGGCAAATTTGATTCAACCAATCAGACACAAAATTTTTGTTTATAATTTGGTCTACCTGGTCACAGTCGAACATGCTTGTAAATGTGGAAAAAGCAATCGTTTTATATATAAAAGAGAACACAGGGGAAATTAAAAAAAAAACTAATATTACAGACAAAAATTTTGGGTATGAAGAAAAAAAAAACAAATTCTGTGCTGCAATTATTTTTGATATTTAATGGTGCCACCAGCTGGGTCGATGCGACTGCCTAGTAGATCTGTCTTAATATTAAGCGTTAAATTTTTGGTTGTATAAACTCAATGATAATTAATAAAACGCAGCATTATAAATTAAATGTTTCACATACATGTATTTTAAATATACGACGAACTTTAAGAAATTGGTAGAAACAACAGTATCTGATAAATTGAAAACGTTATACAGCAAACCACGCATATAAGCACATTCTACAGAAAAAAAAACGGATGTAAATTTTTTTTATACACCAAGCCATGTTTCATATTTTCCAAGAAAAATAATTTCATATTAGAAACAAGCTTATAATAAATAAATGGTTTAAAGCACCAAATCTGAAAAAAAAACTCAGAATAATTTAATATAAGAACGCTGACAATATTTGTGTAAATGAGAAGAGAGACACAATCGAATGGTTTGGCTGAAAAATCAACTACTGGCGCATCGATATCTGTGTGTGTGTGGTTTATGACCCTTATTATGATAATGTGTAGGTGATTATCATATGCGACAGCGCACAAGATCATTAAATTGTACACATGTAAAATTTTATGACCGACAATTTAGAAAAAATTATTTTTAATGGTTAGATTTTGCCAGTGCCTCAATTTACGTTTGCGACAAATCGAATATTCCATCATACCATATAAGCCGTACATACTATCGTACATCATAATCTGCTTCATGGTGTACCTTTATACAAGCATATAAGAAACAAGTTTCTTATATAAAGTACAAGAAAAACACGCATATAAGAATAAATTGGCAATTTTTAACAATTTTCTCATATGCGTATATCGCATTAGATTAAGCAACGTGGCAGAGCTTTTGTATTCGGATTTTTGGTAACGAAGTAGCGCGCATTTGCTATTTCATGGTGAAAAAGCATGTATTCATAGAAGTGGTAAACATTTTACTAAAATTTGATTTATTTACACATAATTGTTTAAATTATAGCACATAATTAATGTATAATAAGTAAAAAGTAACACTGCACTAAAAATTTTTAGACTTTTACTATTAATATGTGATCTAAATATACAATGAAGGCTGAAAATGTGTATTATGTGCATTATGTGGCAATTTAGATTTTTGATCTTTATGAAGAGATCGGATTCAAAAATATCAAAGTTGGAAGGTTCAGCGTAAAAGTGGCAGAAAGCCTCCTCCTCCTGTTATTATTGAACCACATGGTCGTATATAGCTGATCACATTACGTTTATTGAAAATTCAAAGTGATATTTAAAAAATCAAAAATTTGTGGGAAAATCATAAAGAGAATAACTTTTGAATAGGATTAATTCAGACATCTTTGTTGTTTATTTGTCTCCAAACCTAAGTCGACGTACACGTATTTAATCAGATTGTCCGTGATATGAATGGAGGTCGCACCACAATCAGCACCTCCATCCGACAAATATTACTAGAATAAGACTAGTTGTAAATACGGTCATTAATCTGGCTGCTTTCTGAAACGATTCCGCAATATCACACAGATACACAAAATACGGAATATTGGCAGGTACGGTTATATGGGGGCTACACGAAGACGTGAATTGTTAGGGAAATTTTCCAAATTAAGAATTTTAAATAATTCTGGTGAAAGGGGGCCAAAAATCGTCAACATATAAAATATATGGAGGTACAGTTATATATGAGCTATGCGAAAATGTGGACCTATAAAGACAACTTTCTATCACATGAGATAGTACCCTTTACAAACTCCAAATACCAAACTTTATACAATTCCAAACACCACACCTTATTCAAAATACCGAATATCTAAAAAAAAAAAAAATACCATACATTGGCCAAATTATGTATTTTATTACTTTAGTCTAAGTTGGAAATGTTTATAATTTTTGTCCCCTGTACTGTAATTTATAAGATATTAATATTGTTGTGCAGGAAGAAATAAATAAAAGAAATGTCAAAATTAGCATCCCAAGAGAAAAAAAAAATCGACTTTGGCATTTCAGTTCTAGGCAAATTTGATTCAACCAATCAGACACAAAATTTTTGTTTATAATTTGGTCTACCTGGTCACAGTCGAACATGCTTGTAAATGTGGAAAAAGCAATCGTTTTATATATAAAAGAGAACACAGGGGAAATTAAAAAAAAAACTAATATTACAGACAAAAATTTTGGGTATGAAGAAAAAAAAACAAATTCTGTGCTGCAATTATTTTTGATATTTAATGGTGCCACCAGCTGGGTCGATGCGACTGCCTAGTAGATCTGTCTTAATATTAAGCGTTAAATTTTTGGTTGTATAAACTCAATGATAATTAATAAAACGCAGCATTATAAATTAAATGTTTAACATACATGTATTTTAAATATACGACGAACTTTAAGAAATTGGTAGAAACAACAGTATCTGATAAATTGAAAACGTTATACAGCAAACCACGCATATAAGCACATTCTACAGAAAAAAAAAACGGATGTAAATTTTTTTTATACACCAAGCCATGTTTCATATTTTCCAAGAAAAATAATTTCATATTAGAAACAAGCTTATAATAAATAAATGGTTTAAAGCACCAAATCTGAAAAAAAAAACTCAGAATAATTTAATATAAGAACGCTGACAATATTTGTGTAAATGAGAAGAGAGACACAATCGAATGGTTTGGCTGAAAAATCAACTACTGGCGCATCGATATCTGTGTGTGTGTGGTTTATGACCCTTATTATGATAATGTGTAGGTGATTATCATATGCGACAGCGCACAAGATCATTAAATTGTACACATGTAAAATTTTATGACCGACAATTTAGAAAAAATTATTTTTAATGGTTAGATTTTGCCAGTGCCTCAATTTACGTTTGCGACAAATCGAATATTCCATCATACCATATAAGCCGTACATACTATCGTACATCATAATCTGCTTCATGGTGTACCTTTATACAAGCATATAAGAAACAAGTTTCTTATATAAAGTACAAGAAAAACACGCATATAAGAATAAATTGGCAATTTTTAACAATTTTCTCATATGCGTATATCGCATTAGATTAAGCAACGTGGCAGAGCTTTTGTATTCGGATTTTTGGTAACGAAGTAGCGCGCATTTGCTATTTCATGGTGAAAAAGCATGTATTCATAGAAGTGGTAAACATTTTACTAAAATTTGATTTATTTACACATAATTGTTTAAATTATAGCACATAATTAATGTATAATAAGTAAAAAGTAACACTGCACTAAAAATTTTTAGACTTTTACTATTAATATGTGATCTAAATATACAATGAAGGCTGAAAATGTGTATTATGTGCATTATGTGGCAATTTAGATTTTTGATCTTTATGAAGAGATCGGATTCAAAAATATCAAAGTTGGAAGGTTCAGCGTAAAAGTGGCAGAAAGCCTCCTCCTCCTGTTATTATTGAACCACATGGTCGTATATAGCTGATCACATTACGTTTATTGAAAATTCAAAGTGATATTTAAAAAATCAAAAATTTGTGGGAAAATCATAAAGAGAATAACTTTTGAATAGGATTAATTCAGACATCTTTGTTGTTTATTTGTCTCCAAACCTAAGTCGACGTACACGTATTTAATCAGATTGTCCGTGATATGAATGGAGGTCGCACCACAATCAGCACCTCCATCCGACAAATATTACTAGAATAAGACTAGTTGTAAATACGGTCATTAATCTGGCTGCTTTCTGAAACGATTCCGCAATATCA